AAATTGGAGAATATAATGCTAAGTGAATCAAGCCAATCCCAAAAAACTAAAAGCCAAATGTTTTCTTTGATAGAAGATGTTGACTCATAATGGTGATGGCAGGGCATGGAAGGAATGGAGAAATTTTAGATAGTCATCATTACCCTAAGTACATGTATGAAGACACAAATGATGTGGAAATACTTTGTGTACAATCAATGACTTGAACAATTGTGCTCCACATGTGTAATATGAAATGAATTGCATTCTGCCATCATGTATAACAAATTAGAAAAATAAATATTCATATATATATATATATATGTGTGTGTGTGTGTGTGTATATTATATATATATATATAGTGAAGTATCTTTTATGTGCTCTGTTTTAGGCCTAAAAATATATCAGTGCACAAGATAGGTAAGTTCCCTCTGCCTTTGTGGAACTTACATTCTCAGGAAAAGACAGATAATAACCAAGACATATTTAAAAAAACAAAAAGTGACAAGTTTTTTTTTTTAAATTAAGAAAATGAAAAATGCTATGAAGAAAAAATAAAGCAAGTCAAAATATGGGGCATGGTTAGACAGGTAGGAGGCTTCTTCCATGAGGATGATCAAGAAGGACTGTGAAGTGACCTTCAAGCCAAGACTTGAGCATGGGAAGGAGTGGGTCTTTCAGAGATCTGCATGGTAAGGACAAAAGCCTCAGACTTCTGTGGAAAAGGAAGAGGGAAAAGCCCACTGGCTAGCACAGAGAATAAGACAATAAGGAATCATAAAAAAGTTTTCAGAAACAATAAAATCAACTCTTGACCTTAGCCCAAAGGCTGAGATGCTGTGATAAAATTTAGTCTGTGTTTCAGATTATCAGGGCCAAGCCATCTTACTTGCCATTAACATTTTCCAAGTTGTATTTCCCTAAACTTTTACTTCAAGGATGTTCCTCCAAGAAACATGAATTGCAAAAATTTCAAGCTTCCTAGGTGGAAACATTAGTGATGAAAGAGGATGATTGTCCAAAGCATGAAACACTGAGTTCAAATATATCTATCTATATTACATGTATGCCTTTCTCTTCAGTCCTACTCTATTTAAATTGTAATATTTTTAAGTGTAAAATATAAAGTATAAACAGATTATATTAGTCATAAAACCAATAGAAAGATTACTATCTGTAAGTACAGACAATTGAGCAGTATAATGATTAACGAGGAACTGGTAACTCAGGCCACACAATCCTGGGCAGCTTTGTTGCCTGAGAGATGTTCTTTCTCCCTGGTTTTCCTCACCCCCCCGGCACAATCTCCTTAGGGACTGTTCTTTGCAAATGATTTTTCTTTAATCACATAAAAGTTCCTCAGGAAGCTTGCTTTTTAAAAACTCAATCAGGAAAGATCTTTAATTGTCTATTTATGGGGCAAATTCCCCACCCATTTTATTTCTTCTTAACCAGCTGCCACCTCTACCCACTCTCAAGGGCAATTTGAGAAAATGTTCCAGTTAAATATTTTTTATTCTTGTTTTGTCCTCTGTTAAAAGGGAATTTTCTGCTTTACTAGAGATGATAATTTCTACCCCCTCCCCAGGCAGGATATGACAGTCCTCTTCTCTGGTTACCAGGACATTTAAATAGAACATAACAAGGTTTTGAAGTGAGAAATAATACTGCTACTTCTTATCACCTATTGTCAAGTAACCTAATTCTGAGGTGATGGAATCCAGGGCAGATAAGTTTAGCTGAAGAAGACTCAGTAGAAAGAGATCAAAATCCTAAGGTCTCTTAGAAGAGGAGAAAATCAAGTGCAGGAGAGAAGAGCCCAGAGGACAACAGAGACCTGCATGGAAGCCCAAGCCAATGTGAAGTCACTCACTATCACAGCAGAGAGAAAAATTGTGTTTCAAAGTGTAGGCAAAGGATTACGTTAAATAATAAATCTGCAATTGCAAGGTTCTCTTTCAATGTGGTGAATTTCATGGTGGCACACCATATGTTTAGGGGAAGAAAACACCATTGGCAGAGATACCTCTGGGCGTGCCCTTCCATTCTCCCCTCCCCTGCCAGTCCCAATACCCTTGCCCTCTACCCAGACTCCAGGAATTATACATTTTCAAACCACAGTACAATAATATACAGTTAGCCCTCTGTATTGGTAAGTTCCACATCTGCAAAATATTTTTCTTAAAAACTTAATCCTGACTAAACTTGTATAGCTATTTTTCCTTGTCTTTATTCTCTAAGCAATCTAGTGTAACAGTTATTTACACAGCATTCACATTGTATTAGGTATTGGAAGTAATCTAAAGATGATTTAAACTGTATATAAACTGGTTATGTGAAAATACTATACCATCTAAGAATTTTGGAATCTATAAAGTTTCCCAGAACCGCCTCAATCACCTTCAGATACTGATACATATATATTTTGTGTGTTTTATGTATATTATGTACATTTATTATGTACATAATATATAATACATTATAATATATAATATAATATATATTATGTTTTATGTATATTATGTACATATATTATGTACATACATGAAACACAACAAATGTTTGTTGTGGTATATATAATATATATGTACTATATATTTTATATATATACTCTGACATAGCATACATATAGAATATATAGAATAGTGTATATACATATTCATATATATGAATGTACATATACACATATATTCACGCATATATACAGTATTATATATGTACATGTATACGCAAAACACAACAAATATTTGTTCCCCAAAATAGAATTATACCTTCATTTTTATACCCACAGTAATAACATTTCCAATAAGATTAATAGCTGTTTAAAGACTGGAGATAAAAACATGAGGTTTGATGACATCTTTTTTCATATGTTATTGTCAACTCACCTCACAAATGGTGGCATAGGTATCATTCTGCATAGAAAAAAAATGAAAGAAAAAGTACTTAAAACTCTTAAAGTTGTAAATAATTTTAATGATGCTTAGCTATACATTTCTTTCAAATTAATTTCTTGTCCCACCATTAATAACCAACAAAAACCAAAAAGGATCCCAGAGCTGGACCTTCTGTCCAGGCAGGTCATTGTATGCATGGCTCTAAAAATCATGTTATCTGCATAATTAGTAAAAATGGAAGAGTATGATGTCTGCAAGAAAATCCCAGTCAATTAAGAGAGAATCTGTGAACAAATTAGGGAATGAATGAGTGTCTACAGAGGTCTAAGGGGAATAAACTGAAATGAAAATCATCACCCATAGCTCTGGATAGCAAAGGCCAGCAGGTTCTTATGCTCAGACCGACTGCTCCATCAATAACTTTGCTTTTTGAATTGTTGCCTGGCAACAAATGGCACTTCCCATTCATTCATTTGGCAAGTATTGATGATGGAACAGCTACTTTGTAGTAGTGAGTTCAGAGAATACAGTCTGAAAACTGTCCTCCCCTGATCAAGCTTATATACTGGAGAAAAAATATTAAACATACACCTAGACAAATAATTACATAAGTTGCAATTTGTGAGAAGTGTATGGCAGTTACCAAGTCCAGAGGAAAAATGCTCCTCTTTTTAATCACTTCCAATATAAGAGGCCCACAGCTACAAATATGGGGATGGGCAAAATAATTCCTGTAACAGAAGTCTTCAAGGACACACTAAATAAGAAAAACTGTAAGGAATATATATAAAGAGTTTAGCGTCCTTATTTAAACTTTGCTGCCATAATCTACTCATTAATATAAAATAATGTTAGTATTACCCAACATTATTATGATTCATACTGATTTAACCTCTGACATGAACATCTAAACAAATGACAAAATTCCTATCCATGATATCAGAATACTTATAATGTGTCAGTAACCATCCTTAGAAGAAAGATTGTATTATTATCCTAATCTACCTGTGAGAAAAGTAAAGAATGAAGGGGTTAAGTGCCTTAATTAAGTTACACACTAAATGACAAATCCAAGTCAAATGAAAAATAAAGTCTCTGAGATCAATTTCTTAAATGAAGTGGAGTGTTTGTGACCTCTGGATTAGATTGCTAGGCTACCATGTTTTCTACAAAGAAATTTTGAACATGATCTAGTGCCTTCCTATCCAAAATGTGGTTTGGGGACCACTAGTGTCTCATCACCTAGAAACTTGATACAAGTGCAGAATCTCAGGCCCCACCCCTGATCTACTGAATCAGAATCTGCCTTTTAGTATACTGTATACTAAATACCTTTTAGTATTCCAGTATACTAGAATCTTGTACATTAAACCTTGAGAAGCACAGGGATAGAAAATTTAATAAATACCTAACATTCTACCAAAATGTCTTTATAGTGAAGCATTTGGGCATCCCTGGTTTGCATCAACCTTCCTTGGATGATACATTTATAATGCTGATCTCAGCTTTTTTCCCATTACTACTTATTACTCAGGCTGTCATGCTTTTTCTTTAGGGTTAAGAAAACTAGCTGGAAATGGGAATGCAAATGGGAATCCTCTTAGACAACTTTTCTCTAAAGGGAGACATCAATATCAAAATTAAAAGATAGCTAATACTTACACACTTTAAAGCACAGTTTTCCTGTTCTACAGAGTTCCAAAAATGACATCCTTGGATGCACTGCAAGAGACAATAACAGATGATAATGACTGAAGAAATGTGACTTTTTCTTGTCATCTGGAAATGCATAGTAACAAAAAGTATCTCCCATGTTTTGGAAACAAAGCTACTAAGAGGTTGAGGCCTCCAAAGGATCAGGACCTTTTAGATTCTAATTAGAGCTGTCATATCTATAGACAGACTAGGGCTTAATGTGGTTCCCTGCAGGGCAGCAGGTTGCCAAGGGGAGTTAAACCCTGGCCAGGCCCTGACCCAGGAAGCACCCAACTGTCCAGAACATACTGTCCACTGGCAACAGGTGGAGTCCAGGGAAGCATGGCATCAAATACATCCTGGGTCCACAGGCCATTCTCACTTAACAAGGGAAACCCAACACTAGGGACACAAGCAAAAGGTGACATGCTAAAACTTAGTAGGTAGACCATTTGGGAAGTCAGCTGCCTACTTGCTGGCTTGTCTTCCACAGCTGCCCTGCAAACATCCTCCCACAGCTGCCCTGACCTCCTATTGGGCTGAGTTGGTACAATTCTTCTTACTTGCTCTTTCTGTGCCTGTGACTATATTGGTCATTCCTTCCACAAGTCACATGTGGATAACCCCCAAATTAATAACTGCTCTTCTCTAACTCCAGATCCACATATCCACTTGCTCTTTGGACATTTCTACTTGAGTCCCTGCAAACACCTCAAATGAGCATATGAAACATTAATTTCCTTGTTTTCCACCCTCATCTCTTCTCTTTCTCCTGTGTTTCTTGTAACATGGCCCCAATTTAATGAGTTGTTTGAGCCAGGAATCAGTGCTCCTTCTCCTCTCATGCACTATCCCCCATCCTCATAGACAAGCCATCACCAAGTCCTACTGACGCATCTAGTCATTAACTGAAATCCATCCAGGTTCCTCACTCACTGCCCTGATTTTCTGCTTTGCCCTTCACCACTTGCCAACAGCCTCATGAACTTTTTTCCCTAGTTACGAGTGATCTTTTTAAAACCAAACCTGGTCACAACCTTTGCTTACCTTGAATTCTGTCTCTCCATTATTTTCTGGATTAAGGTCAAGTTACCAAGAATGATATACAGCACCCTTCATGACCTGGCCTCACCTAACTTGCCAGTTTTCCTCTTCCACATCCCTCCCATTCCATACACATTGCATTTTTTCAAACAAACTGAAAAACTTTTACTGTTCTGAACAAGTTAGGCTGTTTTGCACTTTTGTTCCTTGAAAAAAAAAAAAAAAGCCCTTTAACTGATATGCCTTTCCTTCAACTTCTAAAAATCTCTTCCTCTTTCTAATTTCAGTTTAAAGGTCTTACAGGGAACTACAGAGACTTTTTCTTTTTTCTTTTTTATTTTTCCTTGTATGTAATCCTTTAACACCCATCTACTCACACCCATACAATACATCACTATTTTGGTTCTCAGATGCTGTCTGGCCATGGTTTTATATATGTCTCAAAAGGTTGAGAATCCTCTTAAAAAGAGACTGTTTATTCCGTAAATCTCTGCTACATAACTCAGTGCCTGCTTCAGACCAGTGCTTTGAATCACTAAACATTTGTTTATGTTATGATTTGGATGAGGTGTCCCCCAAAAGCTCACGTGTGAGACAGTGCAAGAAGGTTCAGAGGATAAATGATTGGGTTGTGAGTACCTTAACACAATCGGAGAGTTAATCCCCTGGTAGGTATTAACTGAGTGGTAACTAAAGTATTAGGGTGTGGCTGAAGGAGGTGGGAAAGGGGCATGGCTTTGGCGTATACTTTTGTATCTGGTGAGTGGAGTCTTTCTCTGTTTTCTGATCACCATGATGTAAGCTGTTTCCCTCCACCACATTCCTGTCCCCCCACACACCCTTTTCCTATAAAATGTAATTTTAGAAGAAACATTGAAGATTGTCTAGCCCAACCCTCATAAACAATACATAGAAAAACTAAGTCTTAGAAATAGTAAGCAAATTATCCAAAACCATGCAGCTACGCAGAATCAAAAATCACAATCTTGGGTTACTCCAGTGCTTTTTCCATCTTAACACACTTCATTTTTTAAAAAACACTCCATAATCCAGACTCCTCACTATTTCCATTGATCACTTTTTAGCAGGGATATTGTTAATGGTTTGGATACAAGGTGTCCTCCAAAAGCTCACGTGTGAGACAATGCAAGAAAGTTCAAAGAAGAAATGACTGGGTTGTGAGAGCCTTAACCCAATCAGTGAGTTAATCCCCTGGTAGGTATTAAGTGAGTGGTAACTGAAGTCTTTATGGTGTGGCTGGAGGAGGTGGGAATTGGGGAGTGGCTTTGGGGTATATATTTGTATCTGGCAAGTAGAGTCTCTTCTTTCTGATGTGAGCTGCTTGCCTCTGTCACACTCTCCTACCATGATGTTCAGCCTCACTTTAAGCCTCAAGAAATGGAGGCAGCCTTCTATGGACTAAGACCTCCCAAGCCGTCAAATAAACTTTTTCTCCTGTATAACTGTGCTGCTCAGATCCTTTTAGTCACAGCAGTGAGAAAGCAGACTAAAACTGACAGATAAATGAGATTTTATTTAGTAATTATCCTTATTGTCACAAAACCTGATCGTTGTTCCTGTTATATTAACACAAACAGGGTGAAGCTCTTGACAAGGGAAGCAGTTACTCACTGGTTCACTCAGGTTGTATGGTGTGCCAATGTCAAGCTGCCTTGCCTGAAATAGAGAAGGAGGTGGTAAATACCAGTATCAATTGGGCTCAGCATAACTAACTGCACCTTTTTTTATTAAAAAAAAAAAAACCATTCTGGAATCGTATTGCCTCCTCATTGTTTTCTAACTGTAAATAGAGAAAACAAATGTTTCCAAGTCATTAAATCCATCATGAAACTAGACAAAATGCTTCTACAATTTATAGATAGAATGCCTAAGTGTTCTGCAGGAACTACCAGGGTGGGAGTGAGTGTGACTCTAAGGAGTGGTGAAAGATGATGAAGAGAGTCTCATAGAGACTCAAGTAATTCGGAGGGTTAGTCATTAAATCAAGTCAGATGAATTATTCTCAGATTTTTCTTTTTTGCAATTACTCATTAAAAAGCAGAAAAAATACAAATTCATAATGTCATACAAGTTATGTTTATTTCTCACCATTTTTAATTTTTAATAAGAGAA